AAAAGTCATTTTTCAAGCAAAAATAGTGAAACAATGTCAAACATTTTCTGATTGGTTTCTGATTCCTGTTTTTCTTTGTATTATCACTGTAAACTACATGTTTTTGTGTTTTTTTACTTTTGGTTGAACAAAACAAGTGTTAAATAGACGTAAAGTTCAGACCTGTGACTTTGTTCTCCTTTGATACTTCATAAACTAAGCAATTCATTGATAAAATAAGCATCAGATGAAACACTGAAGAAATGTTTGTTGGTTATTGGCCTTGCTGCTGCAGCGCCCTGCTTCTGTTTCCCTCACTTCCCTCCACGCTTGTCGCCAAAGTCAGGCAAAGGTCAGGTTGATTTAGAGATTTAGAGAACATGAGGTCTGTTGTGTTATTCTAACCCTCAGTCCGCCTTCCCTTTTTGGACTTTAACCCCAATGTGTCTCCCAGACCACGAGTATCCCTCTGTCCCTGGGGCAGCACATGGACGTCTACTGTTGTCTTTTCATCACAGTGTAAGCTGGTTAATCCAGCTGCCTCGTTTATTTAGAGAAGGGATCTACCGGGGTTTGCCCAGTGGACGCCGCTGCCAGGTCCACTGTGGTTATAGTGGAACTCTGGCTCCTGTTCAGGAGGCAGCATCATGCAGATCGACCAGTCACTTTTCACACCCTCACCACGGAGAAAACAGCTGCCACATCAAACCACCGCCGCCACCTACTCACAGCAGTTTCTCATCTTTTCACCCTCTCTGCTTTACTAGCTCAAACAAAACAATTTTCTCTGTCACTAAATATTCATCAAGCACTGATGGATGTTTGGTTTTGGAGAGGAGATCCCTCATTATGAGCACCTGACATGCAATGCGGTGTCTCTCTGTGGTGGACAGCCGTGGCGTTCGAGAAGTTGATAGCAGACAAGAGAAGTTGATGGTCCGCTGATGTTTTGGAGCTGCGATTACATCGGTTTCACCTTAATCCAAAAGATCAGGTCTGGAGGTGTATCTTTGGGAGATCCAGTCGGTGTGTGTTTTACATACTTGGAGAGTGTCATGTTTAAAGTGGACTGCTATGGGCCGAAACAGGAAGCATCCAAAGTTTAATTTAAATCAATATGATCAAGGGTTGGATCAAGAAATATTCACATCCAGTTCAGTTCAGATCTTTATTGACCCGCAAGAGGAAATTCTTCTGTCCACCAGACCTTATCCAAACATTTACTGTAAAGTCTCTTCTGTAACAGCAAATCTGAGACTTTTATCTAGAACAATGGAAACAGTGGTTTAAGAGCAGCTGTTTGTAGCTTTAGAGTTTGGGTTCAAAGGGTGATCATTATGGAGTCAATATGTCACAGTGTGATTTAAAGGAGGGGTAAGCGATACACTTTTTGTCAAGCTTTTTGACAACTACTGGAAATGCTCACAATATCTCACGGGCTGTTAATCCCACAATCATAGCACCATAGATGACAGTTAACCCAAAGAAGGAAACCAAATAACGTTTCAACATTGAAGCGACGAGCAGGAGTTGAAAGAGATGAAAGAGGAATGGCAGGAGGGTAACATTCATTTTCTTTAGCTCACATTTGGTCACTGCTAATGTCTGTGGTGGCTGAATCCATGTTTTTGAGATCAGTGGTTCACCTCGGAATTGTGCGTGCACGGATGTGAGGGGTGTAGCTTCTGTAGGAGCAGTGACGGGAGGAGTGTATTAGTTTTTGTCTTGAGTTCATACAACAGTCATTCCCCACTGTTGCTTACCCCATGTTTAAGACAGACTGGAAGCTTTTCTCATGCAGAGAAACGAAATTACACTTGTCGAACTTCATCTAAATACAAATGCTTTGGTACAAAATATTTCAATTTGATATCAATGGGCCTCTGGAAAACATTTCACAGATATCATACCAGCTTCATAAGTGATAGTTGGAGTGCGGGAGGCTGGTTTTGAGCTGCTGTCTCCTGCCGCCCATCACCCTAACCAGCCCTGATGGCCAAAAAGCTGAGCATCTGTGATCGAGGCCATGGTTGCAGGACAGTCGGCTCTGCACAGCAGCCTGAGGTGGGGTCAGTAATGGCGGTCTCCTGTTATTCTAACCATTATCATAATGGCAACATTAGTTCCAGGGCCACGCTTCCCTGCTCCTAGGGAACCATTGTTTAAAGGCAGAGCTCCTTTTCAAGACTCCACTGACCACTGATGCTTTGAAGACCCTCGCAGCAGCGGAGGGGGAACACAGACCGGGCATTCATAAGTCTAACGTCAGCACAGGTTGTGTTTTTATTTATTCACAGTGATGATCCACATGTTGAACTTTTGCAAAATTGTTTGAATTGTGACAAATTACATAACAACTTCCTCATAATTATGAGTCTGTCTGTTATAATCTCTTCCTTTTTGTCTCCGTGTCCTCCCCCCCGTGCGCTCCTGAAGCTAAAAGCCCCCTGAAAGTGTTCAGCTGATTTCTCACATGAGAGAACATTTATCTCAGTGTTTTCATTCTGGAGCGGCTTTGGAGGACAGAGGCAAATCTGCTATAATCTTTAAAGATCAGATTCTAATGGAAAGATTCACTCTGCAAATTTACTTACACTGAAAAAACTACTTTAATGCATCAGATGAGTTGGTGGAGTTTGAACATTTCTGAAAAGGTGAAAAGACTGTGAGCAATGTAATACTGAAATATGGAGTGTGACCTTGAAACGGTTTTTCATCATTTTTGCTTTCAGGATTTTTTTGGTGTATTTAATTTTATTCTATTTATGTCATTAAACATAATTTCATAATCTATTTCCTTTTTGTTTTCAAATTTGTTGGGGCGGTTGATAATATAGTAATTTTTCGGACATGTGACGAACTCAGAACACCAGTAGTCTTCACATTTTTTAAACTTAAGACGATAACATTTAAAAAAATCTAAAATACAACTTCAATCAAACTAAATCTGCACCACTTCACCAAATATTTCATTCAAGTAGTTGAATTAAAACTGCCTTCCTGCAGACAGTGGCTGCACTCACCTTGCCACAGCAGCCAGGCTCCCCTCAACAGGTGACTGAAACGTCCACTTGACATGTTTCCTGCTTCCGCACACTTCATTCACACACACACACTCACACACACTCACACTGCTCTGAAAACAAACTTTGATCCCCGGGAAATCCAAGAAACAGAAAGGCTCCTGTCAGCGAGAGACGATCAGGCAGGATATCACCATGACAGGAGCTCATATATAAAATGTCCAGTAATCCCTCAGATGAAACTCTGCTCTCTTCTTCAGCCAGACTTCTTTCTTTCCTCTTCTTCCTTTTCTTCTCTTATTCTACCTCTTCTTCTACCTCCACTTATTGGCTTCCATGGTCAATCTGTGAAGAAAGTCCTCAGATGGAACCTCTCGCCTCATGGAACTTCTCCACTCTGGTGCTTCCCTGCAGTTGGTGAGAGGGAGAGTACATGCTCTCTCTCTCTCTCTCTTTCTTCACCCCCCCACACCTCTCTCTCTCTCTCTCTCTCTCTCTATCACACACTGCTGGTTCACCACTGTGCAGCCCTGTGGATCTGTTCCACTTGATGCATGTGCAGCCAATGTGTGTGTGTGCTTGTAAGCGGGAGGGAGTGTTTTGTGTGTGTGTGTGAAGTGCGTCCTGTCTGGCTCTTAAAGTTTTGAGCTGAGGGAGGAGAAAGAGAGAGAGAGAGAGAGAGA